CCTGTCCTGGCACTGCAGACCACACTGCGCCCCGGAAGCGGCCAGCAGCGGGTCTGGCTCCTAGGCAGAGGTGTGCAAGCGGCTCCGCACAGCTCTCGCCCACAGGCACCGCCCCCCAGCTCCCATTGGCCAGGAACCAGCCAATGGGAGTGTAGAGCTGCTGCTCGGGGTGGGGCAGCGCGTGGAGCCCTGTAGCCCCCCTGCCTAGGAGCCAGACTCAATGCTGGCCACTTCCAGGGCACAGCGCGGTGTCAGAACAGGTAGGGACTACTAGTTTTTACTGGCTGGCCACCAGGGTCCCTGGGTGCTGAGTAAGGCAACTCAGTGCCTTGCATTCTGCAACCCAGTACTGGGTCGCGACCTGAAGTTTTAAAACCACTGGTTTAAGTAGGTACATATAAGACATTACTGTCATGTCTGACTGCTTCTAATATTCCCTCCAAAGGTGTGCAGTCATTCGGGTTGTGAGAGCAATCAAGATTCAAGCCTCCTACCTCCTACCCTCCGTGTTTCACTGCAAGCAGCAGCAGGTGTAGGGCAGTGGGAACCATGTGCTACCCTCTTCTGAAGCACTGCCGTTTCTGAATGCAGTACTCCTAAGCCATTCTGCCTGCAAGTACCCATGCAGGCAGAATGACTCATGGGATCTCAACTCAGCAGCTACAGTTCTGCTCCTGTCCTCTTCTTTGCTTCCCAGGGGAATTTCCAGAATTTCTCCCTAACTATTAAGTATAAAGACAAGAAATTCCTGAGAAGTAATGTGTCTTGGGACACCCACAATGTCTTCTGTTGGTGAAGCAGCATATTTCTGTCATCAGTTTTTGTTCCATTGCCCCAACATCAGTTGCTGGAACAAGTAATCACTCAAGTATAAAAGCAGAGTTTTAGTGATGTGGGAGAGTAGCCAAGCACATTAAGAACTACAACAAAGCAGTTTTGCAAAGCTCAAGAGCTCACATGGGAATACAGGACACTGCGTAAGACAAAGATTTCTACAGACTACAGTATTACTAGATCAAACTTGTGGTGACATGAGTGCACATGACTTTTATATTGGTATTTGGGGAGTGTACTTTACAACATTACAAGGCAAATGAAGAAGAAATGTTGTACTGTGAAGCCCTCCTTTCGATAAGAAAAACTTTGGAGCTAATCTGCAAAACTCTCCCCCCAGCACATTCATCCACAAATACCACACGTCCCTCCCAACAAGTTACATCTGAGAGACAATCTTGAGTATGCCTCTCATTGGAACCACTGACTGAAAAATCCCACTTCCTTTCATTGTCTTTGCACTTAGGTTTTAGTTTCAAAAGCCTTTGGGCCTTGAATTCTAAGTAATGACAAAGTCTACATTGTTGCCTGCCAACTAAACTCCATTCAAAGCTCATAATACATCATATAATGTACAAAAGATTAAGTTGCTAGTCTGCTTTTTCCTCAATTGCCAGTCATCTCACAAGTAACATTTTGAGAAGGGACACCTATTCTCACTGAAACACATACAATCTAGTTATCTTTATTCTAATACATTGCAAGTTACCATACCAAAAGATGAGAAATTATTGTCCATAAACATTAGGATAGATTCCAATCAAACGACCTGCAAGCTTCTTCCATTTGGTCTCCCCTGTGCATTGTATGATCTTGCAACAGAATTAACTGTCATTTGCAGGGGAAGGGAGGAAGAAAATAAAAAGCACCTAAGTCAATTAAACAATCTTTCAGAATGGGAGGAGTCCGGGCCTACATAAACCAGACCCAGCTCATTCTGAGGAGATGAAAGGAAGATGAGGCAACATTCTGGAAGACAGGGAAAAAACAGCTCCAGAAAAAGGCAGGTGAAGATACAAACAATGCTGGGAAAAAGGATAGACAAAGTGGTTGAGGTAATATCTTTTACTGGACCAACTTCTGGTGGTAAGAGAAACATGCTTTCAAGCTACACAGAGCTCTTCTTCAGGTTTGGGAAAGGAACTTAAGGTGTCACAGCTAAATACAAGGTGCAACAGATAGTTTAGTATAAGAAGTTAGCACATATTCTAAGGGACCATTCAAGGTGAAGTGGCCTTTAACATCCTTGTAGTCATAGGAAAAAAAGGAGGGTTAGTGGATTACAGATGGTTGTAATAATCCATAAATCCAGTGTCTTTATTAAGACCATGCTCTGCTCCGGCGGCTCGGGGTCCGGAGGCAGGGGGGGCTGCCCAAAGCTGGTAGCGCTCGGGCAGCTCGGCTCTGTTTAAGAGCCGGGCTGCCCG